TGGCGGTGCTCCCGCCGAGGGTTCGGATCCCACATACAGACCGGTTCCCACTCACTGGCTGAGCGAGGTGTGGGCGCAGCACCGAGGGTTGCGATCCCGTTGCCGGTCCCGGTCCGGTACGGGCGCGACACTGAGGGTCGCGATCCGTTGCCGGACACAAAAAAAGACAAAAAGGAAAAAAAAAAAGAAAACCCTCAAATCTCTTTCTGCTTTTTCTTTGTGTGTTTAAATTGAAAACAAATACAAAGGAGTGTTATTTTTTTTGTTTGTTTTCTTTTTATAAAGATGACTGGTAAGGAGATTTTAATCCTTGACTTGGTGTTGTCAGCACCACGCTCTCCAAAGTGAGCTAATGGGCCATCCCTACATAGGGATCCGAACCCGTGGCCTTGGTGTTATCAGCACCACACTGTCCCAAGTGAGCCATGGGGTGGCCCCGAACCTTATTGTTTTTAACTCTTTTAGTCCTTATTGTTTGTCCAAACTCTTATATTTGTTTTTCTTTTTTCTTTTAGGATGGGAAATGCAACTTGAAGCCAAATGGTCAGCACTTCAGCAGAAATTTTTCAGGGGTCAAACATCCAATGGGATACAAAAGGTAAGTTTAACAAGGGATACTTTCCTCCTCAGAGAAAATTGGAAATTCCATTAGAGCAAATCAGCAAAAATAAAACATATTTGAGAGAAATAGCATGCATGCAAGAGGGAACGATGTCTTTGGAGAGATACTATGAATATGATGAGTTTGGGGATGCCCCAAACACCTCCAGTTAAACTTGTTGCTTCAGAGTTCCCACAAATACACATTCCCACACATACAACTAGACATTGAGTGTTTAAAACAATTTCATGGAACTTTTTTTTTTTGGGGGGGGGGGGGCTGGTCAGTGCGGGGATCCGAACCTTTGACCTTGATGTTACAACACCACACTCTAACAAATTGAGCTAACTGGCCAGCCCCAGAAATCTTATTAAAGATTAGAGTAGATGGACCACATTCTGAAATAAGTATTCAATCATGCCACTTAAATCAACAACAAGGGCTGGCCCGGTGGCACACTCGGTAGAGTGCGGCGCTCCCGCCGAGGGTTTGGATCCCATATAGAGACCAGTCCGCTCACTGGTTGAGTGCGGTGCGGGTGCAACACCGAGGGTTGCGATCCCATTGCTGGTCGCGGTATGGGTGCGACACTGAGGGTTGTGATCCCGTTACCGGTCACGAAAAAAGACAAAAAGGAAAAAAAAAAAAAAGAAATCAACAACAAAATCCAAAAACAAAAAGAGAAAATAAAGAAATCAACAGGGCAGGAACTGTATGCATGTAATGAAGATGGCAAAAATCATAATTGTCATTATCATCATAATGTTTCTGTCTTCAGATGGGTGGACTCTCCTAATGTGTTTGAAAAAATTCTTTAATTATCATTCATTCCTTCATCAACAGGCAGGAAGCCACAATGGAGGAGAACTCTGTGACTGTGAGCATTGTGGAGAAGTCTGCAGTGAACACTCATGCCTTAAGACACACTTGAGAACTCAAAATACAGGGAACACTTATGACTGTAATCAGTATGGAAAAGACTTTCTTATTCTGCACAATAAAATCTCTACTGGAGAGGAACTTTCTGAGTTTAATCAGAATGGAAATATTTTCAGCCTGACACCAAATATTGTGTACCAGAGAACTAGCACACAAGAGAAACTCTTTGAATGCAGTGACTGTGGGAAATCCTTTATTAACCATTCACACCTTCAGGCACATATGAGGACTCACACTGGAGAAAAACTCTATGAATGTGACAAATATGGGAGAGGTTTTATTCGCTCCACAAGTCTTGCCGTGCTTATAGAAACGCTCAATGCAAAAAAACCCTACAAATGTAAGGAATGTGGAAAAGGCTATAGATACCCTGCATACCTCAGTATTCATATGCGAACCCATACTGGGGAGAAACCCTATGAATGTAAGGAATGTGGGAAAGCCTTCAATTATTCCAATTCATTTCAGATACATGGACGAACTCACACTGGAGAGAGACCCTATATATGTAAGGAATGTGGAAAATCCTTTACTCAGTACTCAGGCCTTGCTATACATGTACGATCTCACAGTGGAGACAGGCCCTACGAATGTAAGGAATGTGGGAAAGCCTTCCTTACATCCTCCCGCCTTATTCAACATATACGAACTCACACTGGAGAGAAGCCTTTTGTATGTCTCAAGTGTGGGAAAGCTTTTGCTATTTCTTCAAATCTTAGTGGACATTTGAGAACTCACACTGAAGAGAAGGCCTGCGACTGTAAGGTATGTGGAAAAGTATTTGGGTATCCCTCACGTCTTAATAATCACATGCGAACTCATAGTGTCCAAAAACCATACACATGTAAGGAATGTGGGAAGGCTTTTAACTATTCCAACCACCTTAAAATTCACATGCGAATCCACACTGGAGAAAAACCCTATGAGTGTAAACAATGTGGGAAAGCCTTCAGTCATTCCAGTTCATTTCAAATACATGAAAGAACTCACACTGGAGAGAAACCCTATGAGTGTAAGGAGTGTGGTAAAGCATTCATATGTTCCAGTTCCTTTAGAATTCATGAAAGAACTCATGCTGAAGAGAAACCCTATAAATGTCAGCAATGTGGCAAAGCCTACAGTCATCCCCGTTCACTTCGAAGACATGAGAGAACTCACTAGTGAGAAACCCTATCTCTGTAAGCAATATGGGAAAGCCCTCATTTCTGGCAGTTTTCTTGGAAGACGTGAATGAACTCACACTGGAGAGAAACCCTATGAAAATTATTTAGTTAAAATGAGTCTGTTAGTGTAGAGCCCTAATCCAATATTGCTGGAGTCCACACACTTAAGAGACACACACTTAAGACCATGTGAAGTCGTTTAGAATGGACATCTGCAAGCCAACGACGGAGGACTAGAACAGGTGTTTGTGTTCAGGTCTCCAGAGGAAACCAACCCTGCCAGCACTTTGGACTTCCAACCTCCAGAACTGTGAGCAAATAAATTTCCATTGTTTAAGCCACCCAGTCCATGGTATTTTGTTCTGACAGCTCTAAAATATGTAAGAAATCACACAGAAGAGAAATCCTATGAATGTAAGTCATGTAAAAAAGCCTGTTCATCAGATCTCAATATTCATATCCACATGGTAATAGACCCTGTGAAAATAAAGGGGAAAAAAAGTAAAGGAAAATGCAGAAAGTTTCGTTTACTATGAAAGTAAGGAATGTGACCTTATATACCATGTGGGTATTTAGCACAGACTGAAAGCCTGGTAGGATTGTGGAAGAGCGTACATTAATTTTTTACGCCTTATAAAAGGTGTAAAAAGTATGACTAGAGAGAAGTCTTCTACTTGTAAGGCATGTAGGAAACCTTTCTATAGAAGTTTTTTTTACACATCTAAGATTACTGCAAAAGCCCTGGGAAGATAAGGAATGTGGTATAACTTTTAGATATTTCGTATGCCTTAGTGTTCACATGAAATCTCACATATTGTGTGTACACATTTCATATGTACTGTTTCATGACAGTATTTTTTTTACACATCTAAGATTACTGCAAAAGCCCTGGGAAGATAAGGAATGTGGTATAACTTTTAGATATTTCGTATGCCTTAATGTTCACATGAAATCTCACATATTGTGTGTACACATTTCATATGTACTGTTTCATGACAGTACAATTAAAACAATTCTAAAACCTTTTTCCCATCCCTTTCATCATTTTTGTATTCATTTCACATATATTTATGCCCGTATGCACACATACAATCAGCACATGTAGTTGAATACATCATAGCTATATTGAAGAAGTATATCTTTTAGAACAATTAAGAATTAGAATAGAAAATTTTATCTTCACTTACTGCTTCTCCTATACTCAAAGTTGGATGTAATTCTTATCCTTGTTTTTATATATGAAATGCATTTTTCCTGTTTTTCAGCTTTTTAAAATCTTGATATTCTGTAGTTTAAAATGATATGATAGGTGTAGTTTTTTGTGTTATGTATTCTGCTTGGTGTTCTCTGAGGTTAGTTTTGACAGATTCTCAGTTATTGTTTCAAATATTTCTTCTATTTCTTTTTTTGTATTCCCATTATGCATAAGTTACAACTTTTGTAGGTGTCCTGAAGTTCTTACATATTCTCTTCTGTTTTTCTCAGTCTTAGTTCTCTTTGCATTTCATTTGTGGAGGTTTCTTTTCTTCTTTTGGTAGCTGGCTGGTGCAGGGATCTGAACCCTTGACTATGGTGTTATCAGCACCATGCTCTAACCAAGTGAGTTAACCAGCCAGCCCAGAAATTCTTTACTCAGTTGTTTGCAGTCTAGTAAAGTCCACCAAAGGCGTTTTTCATTTCTGTTACACTGCTTTTTAATTTTAGCATTTCTTTTTGCTACTTTCTCAGAATTTCCATTTCCCTAGGTCAAGGGTTCAGATCCCCATTCTGGCCAGCCACAGGGGGGAAAAAAAAAGTTTGCATCTCTCTGCTAACACTGCCCATCTGTTGTTCTTGGATGCTGTCTACTTTATTCATTAGACCCCTTAGCATCTTAATTTATTTAAATTCCTAGTCTGAGTATTTCAACATCTTTGCCATATCTGGTTCTGGTGCTTGCTCTGTGTCTTCAAACTGACTTTTACCTTTTAGTATGTGTTATAATTTTTCCTTGATAACTGGACAAGAGGAACTGCTGTAAATAGGCCTATAGTGATATGGTGGTAAGGTGTGGAGAGAGAGGTAGCATTCTGTTGTCCAGTGGTTTGATTTCAGTCTTTTAGTGAGTCTATGCTTCTGGACTGTGAGCTTCAGTTTCTTTTCTCCCCCATTAGTTGGGTCATGGTGGCTAGAACTGGCTGGTGTTGGATATTTTGCTTTCCTTAGGTCATTGAGGCTCTGATAAAAACCCAGCAGACTGAGCTCTGGTTAACTAGTTTCCCTGAGGGAAGACCTTGTTAAGAACAGAGCCCTCTGGTTTGTTTTAAAACGATTCCTTTTCTGCTTCCCCTGCTGAAAGCATGAGAGGATTTTTCTCTGATATTTACTGTGAGACTCTGGTCGAGCTCCTGGAGATAAAACTCACAAAAGCATGGGGGAACCCCTCATGACTGGAGTTTTTAATTCTCAGACTTGTCCACACCTAGCTTTCAACAACTTTTTTTTTCCCAACAATTCTTTAATTACAAGTTTTCTTATCCTGGTACTAGTTCCCAAGGTGGGTTCTGCTCCAGTATGGTGTGATTCTGATGAATAAGTTCTGGGTATTTAATGTGCAGCATGGTGATTTTAGTTAATAATACTGTATTGTAGGCTTAAAATTTGCTGAGAGAGGAGATCTCTAGTGAGCTAACTGGCCAGCCCAGTTGTTATTCTTGTTTTAGGAGTTCTTTATAAATTCTGGATATAAATCCCAAGTCAGGTATGATTTGCAAATATTGTCTCCCATTCTATGAGTTGTCTTTTCACTCTTTTGTTATTGTTTTGTTGTTTTTTGATGCACAAAACTTGTAATATTGATGAGGTCAAATTCATCTATTTTCCTTTTTTTGCCGGTGTGTTTGATATCATAATCAAGAAATCATTTCCAATTCCAACATCATAAAGCTTTATTTGCTATGTTTTCTTCTAAGAGTTTTATAGCTTTTTAGCTCTTAACAATTAGGTTTTTGATCCATCTTGAATTAAATTTTATATATGGTAGGAGGTAAGGGTCCAACTTCATTTTTCGCATGTGGATATCAGCTCCATTTCTCCCAACTCCACCCCTAGCTTTATTGAGATCACTGACAAATAAAAATTATATATACTTAAGGTGTGCAACATGATTATTTGATATATGTATATACTGAAATTATTACCATGATCAAGTTAATTTACCCATCTGCTGCCTCACATGGTTGTCTTTGTTTGAGTGTGTGGTGAGAACATTTAAGACTTTCTCTCAAAAAAAAAGGCTGGCTGGCAGTCACTTGGGAGAGCATGGTGCTGATAACACCAAGGGCTAGGGTTCAGATCCCCATAGTGGCCACCTGCCAAAAAAAAAAAAAAAAAAAAATCAAATACTGAAAAAGGACTTGAGAACTTCACCAAAGAAGATAAACAGATGCGCCAATAAGTATATGAAAAGACGTTCAACATTGCTAAACATTAGGGAAATGAAAGTAAAAACCACAAAGACACTTATGAAATATGTTTCCATACGTTCTTGGGTCTATTTGTAGATATTCCATTTGTCTGTTTTCTGTTCATATGCCAGCAGCACACTTTTAAATACAAAAGCTTTATAATATGTTTTAATATCTGCAGGTCATCATTGCCTCTACTTTTCAGTGTTTTTCTTGGTTATTATCAGATGTTAGTTCTTCCATGTGAACTTTAATATCAATTTGCCTAACTCCATAAAAAAACTTGTTTTTGTTGGAATTAGTTACATTTTTGAATAAACCTGAGGGGAATGCCAGGTATCAATGGTTATTTTACAACGTAGTATATATAGGTGGTCCTGGCCCATATGGTAAGATCAGGAAAATAACAATAGAAGCACGTATTTGATAAGGAAGAAATATCAAGATTTATAGAAAATAACACATTGAAAATACGAAAGAATCAACTACTACAGAGAGACTGACCGAATGGGAGAGACGGACCATGAACGAATAGCTGCAAGGCTCTAGGAACGTGGGGGGAGGCAAGGAGAGAAGCTTTGATGAGCATCCTCTAAGGTTATCCCTACCCCAGCCTCGTCGTTCCAGCCACGGGGGCCTCGGTCCACCTCCAACTCCGTCCAAAGCGCCGCCCCGAGGCCTGGCTCTAGACTCCAGCTTCTGCTCTGGGCCTGTTTCTGCCTCCAGCCTGCTCGCAGATCCGACCCCAGCGCCAACCCACGCCCACCAAGGAGGAGACCAGAATTTCCCTGCTGGACCGCGTCAAATGCCGCTGAGGCCCGAGGCTGGTCGGCGCCTGGTTGAAAGCGGAAGTGACGTCAGCGGGCCGCCGCCACCTTTTCCGGCGCGGGCTGCGCGCGCAGAAGGTTCATTTCTCGGTTTTCGTGATGGGGCACACACGGTCGTAGGTGACTTGTGTGTGCTTGAGGCTCCCAGAGGTGACGGGCCTCAAAAAATACGTGTGGCTCCGGCGCCGAGGGGCCTCCGCAGAGAGGTCTGGCCTGCTCCGCTCGCATCTGCCCGGGATGCGGGTCTTCCCGGCGCTGCCGGGGCCGACACGCCGCTCGGGCCGTCGTCCCAGCCAGGAGCCGGGTCGGCAGTGGTAATGGTGCGCCCGCGGGGTGTCTTCATTCTCTGTGCTTTCCTCTGCAAAAGCCTCCAAAGTAACCTTTTTGTATCGCTTCACGGAAGGAAAGCATTTTCGGCTTTCGAGGCACGTTGACTCCGGCCGTGCGGCGGCGGCCCCCCCAGTCCCAATGATGGACCTGGCGATTCCTGCGTTTTGGGTCAAGAGGCTTCCTCTATTTGTATGCAAACGAATGTTTCATCTAAGCATTTGACTCTGGCTTTGATGTCTTTTATTTATTTTTGACACGTTACATTCAGGTAGAAAGATAAGATAGATTCTTAGACGTCTAAGGTGTGTATATTTCTGTATATAAATATAAACATATGTAGACTACAAGTCTTTCTACTAAAGAAAAAAATGCTCAGCTGTTCTCTTCATCTGACGTTCCTGTCCCCACAGAGCTTCAAAACAGGCCTCCAGGAAGAAAGGACGGAGGCTTTATTACACGGGTACTAGAATAATAAAATTCATTATTAACAGCTTGTTTGGAGTAAGTGCATCCCCCCCCCCCCATATTTTCCTTTCAAAAAATCTAAACGTATCGAAAATTCGGGCATCCTTACAAGGAATATCCCTTGTGCTGGGTTTACTTATTTTTAGCATCATGCATGTTTGCTATGTCTTCAGATAAATAAATGTATTTTATGGTGAACCATTATTTGTCAGTTGAGCATAAATCACATACGTGATACTTGACCTTTACTTGGTAATGCATCCCCTAAA